TTGTGCATACAGAACTGGGCACAGGCCAGAGGAACAGGGGCGGTGAGAGGATTCTCCAGAGACAAAGCGGGGAGCAGAACAGGCAGACTGACAAAGTACACTGCTGAGGGGAGCAGCGGGCTGGTCAGGAGAGGTCTGCCGCGCCATGTAGGTCACCTCCGGGGTGGGGATCGAACTCATGCTGAAGTGGCTTTAGCTCCTCAGTGCTGCGCCACCAGGGAGCGCCCCTGGTCATTTTTGTACAATATTTGATCTCTCCCTTGTGTGTAGTCCCCACATTTCTCCCACCACCCTACCCGCCATGATCTATCACCACCATCTTCCCCTCCTCCTCCCCTGTTGTGGCCCTCAGATCTATGGTCAGCTTGCAAGCTTTGTCTTTTTCCTGACCCTTTATTCAGTTTCTCTATATTCCACATGTAAGAAAATGCAAAAAGACTTAACTTGAAAGGAAACCTGCACTCAAAATGTTCATTGCATCTTACTCTTTTAAAAGACTCTGTCCAGGGCTCTCCCTGGTGACACAAGAGGTTAAAGCACAGCTCTATGAAGCTCTCAGAAGCCACTGCAGCACGAGTTTGATCCCCAGCTGGGGATCTGACCCATATGACACAGCAGACCTCTCCTGACCCTCCCACTGCTCCCCTCAGCTGTGTATTTCAGTAGCTCTACCTTTTCTATTCCCCACTCTGTCTCTGGTGAATCCTCTCACCTACCACACCTCTGGCCTATGCCCCAGTTCTGTAAGCATAAATAAATAAATCTTAAAAAAAAAAAAAAAAAGACTTTCCATTTCAGTGGAAACTGGAGAACCAGAAGCCCCCGTTTCTAGGTCCATTCTATGAAGCAGGGACACAGACCCCTCGGTTCATAAGCACCACGTTGTCACACCTGTTGAATGATGTACCTCTGGGACACTTTCTAGAGGTTCTGATTCAATGAATCTTAAATTTGAGACCCAGAAACCTGCATTTTACTTGGCAATTCCAAATAATTCAGGGATACAATTCAACTTAGGAAATAGTCTATTCAAGTGGCATAAAAATCTCCTGCAATTTGGCATAGGTTTCTTTTTTTTTTTTTTTTTAGATTTATTTATTTATTCATATAGAGCTGGGGTACAGGCCAGAGATGCAGAGGGTGAAAGGATTCACCAGAGACACAGCAGGGAGCAGAACAGGCAGATGGACGAAGTACACTGTTGAGGGGAGCAGCGGGCAGGTCAGGAGAGGTCTGCCGCGCCATGTGGTCACCTCCGGGGCAGGCGGGAATCGAACTCATGCGGAAGTGGCTTAAGCTTCTTAGTGCAGTGCTTTAACCCGCTGTGCCACCAGGGAGGGTGGCTTAGGTTTCTTATGTCTACACGTACACCAGGCAGAGACGACAGGCAGAAAGCCTAAACAAGCAAGCATAATATGTGAATCAAACACCAGTCAAGTCACTCCTGTTTGAAAAAATGAACGAGCTTGGCAAGCTTTTGCTGGACATTCAGCCTTCACCTTTGAAGTAGGCTGTGGCGCCTCTGCATTGGAGCGGAAAAGGTGGTGTTGTTTTGAAGCAGATATGGCGAGCTAGAGAAGAAAGCAGCGTTGCTGTCTGATTGTAACAAGCACAGCCTGTGACTTTGAATTTGCAACAGGTCATTTCAGCTTAGTTTTTGAACAAAGAGGATTGTAGTCATAATTATAATAGTTCTTAATGATCTTCTTAGAGTGACTGTGTGGGCTGGAACAAAGAATAGAGATTAATTTTCTATGCGTAACATTTCTAAAATGCCATAACTATGTAGGAGAAATGTTTGTGTGTTTGTAAAATGCACTGGTTTTCTCTGAATCAGGGAAATCACAGATTTAGAAGGATTCTTAAGGGTCATCAAGTCCACCCCAATTTCAACTACCCACCACCAGATACTTAAAACTAGTACATCATTTCAGAAGGAATCAATTAAAGCAGAACTTTCTGAAATCAGAGCTAATGTGTTTTTCGAAAACTCTATTTTTACAAGTCAAGAAAACTGAGTTGTTAAAATCAACTATGGTGAATATAAATTATAGATTGAGTCAAACTTCCTGGGGAAGCTGAGGTTTTAAAGCAAAGATTTATTAAGTCCTTACCCTGTACTAGGTGGTCTATGGGAATTATTTTATTTGGTACTAATGAACTTGGTGTTATTTCAGCAGACCAAGAAATGTATATTATTACTTAATGGAAAATCCTACAGCTCATACTAAAATTCAAAGCCAAGTGTCTCTTGATTCCAAAGCTGAAACACTGTATAAGACATCTGAAATATTGTCCGGTTGTGCTTAAAAAAAAAAAAAATGCTGCCTCACTAAGTAATTCCTAAGTTAGTTGATGGCACTTGGGATTCAGACAAGTCCAGTTTGAAATCCTACCTCTGTCAGGAGTGTGGACAAAGACCCGAGCTTTCCATTGTTCCTGTGATCTATAAAGTGATCTCTATAGTCTCACAGAGAGCGTCTTAAGATTACATGTACAGTATAGTATTGGACAAGCCTTTGCCCCTCAGAGAGAGACAAGCCAAGATAAGAAAGTACCTTCAGTGAAGTTTGGGATTCGTTCATCTCAGGCTCCCTTGAGCACACTCTGTGGTGTGAATGTGTGTGATGAACACAACTGGAGACGGTTGTCATGGCTACACACAGGTACATGCCAAGCAAGGAGAGATAATCCCGAGTCAATGACTCTCTGCTCATGGAAACCACCAGATCAAAAGTATAGAGGGTAGCTGTTACTGGACAGGAATTCCTAATCCAGTCTGGTATATGAACTATACAACACCAGAATCTGAATCCAAATAAATAAAATGATATGAGCAAAATCATGCCAGAAGTTGGCCCTAATTCCAGAACAAGAATAAAGCCTGTAATTCCTGGCTCACTGCTGTTCTCTTAATAAGCATTTTTCTATTAAAGAACATGACATTTGTTTAAGTCAATTTTTTTATCAAGAACCTTTCAAATACTTTGAGATGTACATAGTGAATGGGAGGGATCTCAGGGAGTGGTAGGACCAGCAGGAAGAAACATGTTTTCTATCATTTTTTTCCTATAATGACACGAAATGTGAAGTAGCCTTTATTATTCACTCTATTGTCTTCTTTAAGTCTTGCACAAATGGTGCCTTCTCTGAAAACCCACCTGCAGCTGTCTGTATAAACTGGTCCCCTTGCCTTACCTCTTTACAGCCCCTTCCTTCATTTTTGTTTTCTAACTTGCCATCCTCTAACACAGCAGATTGTTTAGTGACAGATTGTTTAGTATTTACAAACTAGTCTTCCAAGGACGTACATTTCAAGAGCGCATGAATTTGGTCTCTTGTTCGTGTATGCATGTCTTAAATATCTAGGTGCTCTGTCACTTAGTACCATCTTGAATAACAGAACCAATGCAGTAATATTTGTAGAATGATTAATGAACCCTTGGTCTCCAAAACTAGGAGAGAGGATTACTAAATTAACGTATGGTATTTTATTCTACTTAAAGTGCTCATAAAATTTAGAAATTAGAGACCAAAATTTCTAGAATATGCCATTATGTGAATAAATGCAATATTCAAACTCAAACAGATAGGAACTAGGTCAAACTGTGTACCAGAAACAAAGATTAATAGGAAATGAAAAAAGGGTATGGTTTCATGTGTTTTGTTTTCCACCTTAAGATACACTTTTTGTGAAACAGCAGTAAAGTGGAGAGAAAAGATAATCAAAGAGAATGAGAACTACAATCTTGAAGTTTCTATCTCCATTTCTTGGGATTCCCTAAGCAGCTAAGCTCTTTGCCCACTTCCCTGGCCACTGATCTAACAGGAAGATGAATCTTTTAGCCAAAGAGCGTATTAGGGCTCACCTTTCCTCCAATTTCCAGTATCAGGTGATAGGCAGAAATAGCAAGTTAGAAATTTAATTTCAGGGAAACTTGTTTTATTCCCATCCCCCTTCACCCATTCCCGCAGCAACAGCCCTCCGGGCCCCCTTTGCTGCCCTATCGCATATCCGTTGTCTTATTGCCGCTTTGTGTTTAGACTACCCCCACCTCAGCAGGCACCATCCTCCCCTCTTTTGGTGCCAGTGCCAGGCCTCGTTTTACCCTCGGTGCCAGTCTATGCGTGGGCTTGTCTCTGAATCAGTAAAGCTGCAGTGCTGAGAAAGTTCAAGGCTAGAGAAAGCCAGATGGCAGAAGATGCATGATCTCACTCCCCTCCCCTTGCCCGTGGCTGCGTCCGGAGCCTGGTACTCAGAGGCCCCCATCACCCTAGTGACGCCAGTGTTTCTTTGATGAAGCCCAACCCCCACCCTGGGAGCGATTTCTCCTAAGGGAGCTCCTTGCCGGCGGCCTCCTGGGTCAGGAAGACTACCCCAGTGTGCACACCCACGCTGCAGGAAGCCATCACGCCTTCTCTTCTTCCAACTCTGTGGGCCATCTCTTAGTCTTGTGTTAGCGATTAAATTCCAGAATCATGGAATTTTCAAGTCAAAAGGAATCTTAAAAGCCATCCATCAATTGTACAAGTGAAGGCCAGAAACTAGACCTTTTGGTGGTGAACATCATGTGCCGTATACATCAGCCCCTCTGTGTGCACGCCACCGTGCTTTGACTTGTAAGACTGGACATTTGAAACCTGTATCATGCGATAAGCCAATGTTTCTTCGATAAAAAAGTAAAAGTAAATATAAAAGTAAATATAAAGGAATGGCTGCTCCTTCCAGAAAGTTTAGACAATACAGATATACAATGAAGAAACGTGGGTGAGCAGGACACCTGGTGTGCGCCAGGCTTTCGTGGAAACCCAGTGAACCCGTCAAGCTGGCTCCCCCAATGTCGGCAGAAGGCGGAAATCAAGATGGCGGACGGGCAAGCCAGCACTTCCTCGCGTGGGGGAGATGAGAACAGTATTCTCAGGGCTTTCACCAGAACAGAGGTTTAGTTTTGTTTTTTAATGGTTGTCTTTTGTCTTTTTTTTTTTTTTTTCTCTTTCAGGCTTGTAAATTTTACAGTTCCCAGTGGTATGTGGTAAACTACAAGTATGAACAGTATTCTGGGGACCTTCGACAGTTACCTGGGTAAGACCCTGTTACGAAAACCCCCTTGTAGCTGCATGTGTTTTCTGCTATACAGGAAGAGGTTCTCCATCTAAGTTTTGCCATTGTTTGTGAATATGCGTATGTGAATCCAAGAATATCTTTTGAAAAAATATTTATTTATTTACTGATGCACAGAAGAACTGGGTGCAGGCCAGAAGTGGGGGGTTCATGAGAAGGGTCACCAGGGAGAGTGGGGAGCAAAACAGGCAGATGGACTGAAATACACTGCGGAGGGGAGCAGTGCCGTGTGGTCTGCTGTGCCGTGTGGGTCAGCCCCCTGGCTGGGGATTGAACTCGGGCAGTAGTGGTAACAGCATTGTGACTTTACCTCCAGGTCACCAGGGAGGCCCTGTCCAGGTATATTTTTTAAAATTATAAATAAAAGCCGTGCTAGACTGTTTTGTTTCACGATGTATTATTTGTATATTCACAAAATTGGGGGTGGGGGGGAGCTATAAGTACACTAACTTTAGTTTAAATTTTTTAATTAATTTCAATTTTTTTAAAGATTTATTTATTTATTCGTACAGAACTGGGGTACAGGCCAGAGATGCGGAGGGTGAGAGGATTCACCAGAGACAGAGTGGGGAGTAGAACAGGCAGATCAACGAAGTGCACTGCTGAGGGGAGCAGCGGGCGAGTTCAGGAGAGGTCTGCTACGCCATGTGGTCACCTCCAGGGCAGGCGGGGATCGAACTCATGCGGAAGTGGCTTTAGCTTCTTAGTGCTGTGCTTAACCTGCTGCGCCACCAGGGAGGGCCCTAATTAATTTCAATTTTTAATTAGAATTTTGTTTTGATGTGATATTGCATTATAACATTAAGTTTGCAGTGCACAGCTTTGAAAATATATATAAGCTGCTCTAGTGCCCACCTGTAACTAGGTTAGTGCCTCTCCTTCTCTTTCTCTCCTTTTCCTGGTAAACCTGTGTGTTAAAGATGAATACATGTGCATACATACTACCTGAAGTTCACACTGAATGTCCAGGTCTATCCTTCACTACACAAATTGAATTTTTGAATAAATTTTAAAGCCCACCAGTTATTATAGCATTCTTTGTGTGCTGTCCTTTCTCTGGCAAACACAAGAGAATGAGAAAAGTACACTTTGGATCAAAGAAATCCTCTGGCAATTTCACATAGACCAATCAGATTTACCACTGTTCATGCTGGGATATCCAAAGTCTTGAAGACAAACCACTTCCATGGAATTGATGCAGACTTAAGAAAAGCAAAAAGCGGGGAATGATTAACACCAGAATTATTTCCCCTGGCTCTTGGTAACATCACACCTTTAGGTGATGGTGACTTTCTTCTGCACCTCCAAGGAGAATTGCACTTGATCAGCCACATGGGGAGAAGCATCTCTATCAGCATGTACCCCACTAAAGAGAAAGCCCCCACAGGCTTGGCCTCCCTGCAGAAGACCCCAGACCTAGGAGGATGCCCACCCCAACACAGCTGCAGGGTGAATAACCATGGGTGAATGAATGGAGCGAACTTTCCCGAAAGTGGTATAGCTGGTATCACACGGGTCCCTCCGGGCATCCCGAACTCCACTGAGGACCAGGCTGTGTCTTACGATTTTAACAGTGAAGCCCATTCCCCACCTCAATGCTGGGCTGGAACTGCCCTCAGTGACCCTCTTGTTAAGCTACAGCAACAGGGTGGTGGACCTCAGGGTCCACCTGGCCTTCATGGAGTAAGAGCCCCCGACCACCAGCCCCAGCAAGCGCACAAGATGAAAAGAAGCGGCCGTTGGCTGCGGGGACCCCCACTTACGCACACAGCTGACCAGTCACAGCTCCATCTCAGACCCCCAGGAGAAGGGACGGCTCAGGGAGTCCTACTTTGTCACATGCCATTGGTGAAGTACACTGTACCCGGAAGTTTGAAAAGTGCTCTTCCTGGTTGGGATTAAAGTTGCTCAAATCTGCTCAAAATCAGAGCTGAGTTGGGATCACCCAACACCGGCTGAGGAAACTAAGATGGTGTGCATAAGAACAGGGAAACACTTAGAACAGCCCTGTCAGTGTTAACACGTCTCTCAAGTGTTAGAGATACGCACGTCATCCTCAGAAAGGAGCTGGGGTGGTGTTCTCCTTGCAGTAGAAAAATGGGGAGATTCTGATTAGGAATATGACATGCTCTGGCTTATGATTTTATAAGATCCCTGGGTCTGTACTATGGCGAATTCAATAGCAGTGGTAAAAGAAAAGAGAGGAAAGGAGGCCATTTCTCTGGAGCTGCCTTACTGTGAAGAGCAAAATTATGTTCCTCCAAAACAGCAAATCATTTTTCAAAACAAGGAACATCTCCTTTTACCAAATCTCTCAATAGGCATTGAGAGCCAGATCCCCTCCCGCACAGCCCAAGCTGTCACTGCCTGCAGGGAAGGTCCCGTCACACCCTGATTCCTCAGGAGTCCGGACTACCTCAGAATGCCTGGGTGTTGGGCGCACAGTCTGTAGAAACAACTAAAAAGCACCTACATCCAGACTTCCTCTTCTGAAAATAGTTCTGAGAAGTGGTTACAAGATGGAGGCTAGGTCCCGGCATTTTGGAGGACAGGATGTGGTTGTCCTATAGAATTGATGTCACCCTGTGTCTACAGTCTACAGGAATCTTCAGTGTCTTTGGCCCTCAGCACTGCATCTCTCTTCATAGCTAGCTATCTCATGTGTGAGTGTGTGTATTTCCTACTAGATATACAATTTTTTTTATGAAGTTTGCTTTTTTCCCCCTCAGGTGTAATCACCATAAAATGCCCACACGTCGCCTGTGAACCATCACCACAGTCCACAGTCCCTGTCCCTTGTGTTCTTCCCTCTCCTATTTTGATGCCTTTCACCCCCTCCCCTGCAGAGTGTCTCTGATTTATTTATCTGTTGATTTTTGTTTTGTCTGGTTATGGTTATTGTTTTCCCCCCCTATGTCTTACTTTGTTTCTCTGTATTCCTTCTGTAAGTGAAACCATCGATACTTTTCTTTTTCCTTCTAAGTTATTTCACTGAGCATGATCCCTTCCCATATTTGTGGTGCCATAAAGCAGAGAAATAAATCAAAGATTTCACATTCACAATGTTCTTCTCCTATTAAGCAGCTCCTGCCAGAGTAGACTTTGGACATCATGCATGCATGGGAATTCTTACAGAGCATTAAAGAAATCAAATGAGCAAAAATGTGAAAGTGACTGAAGTAATGTTGAGAAAGTCCCTTCCTTTAACTAAAGGAAGTGGAAGCTGATTCCGAGAAGGGGAAGCCTAAGAATAAGACTGCCACAAAATTAGGTTTCAATGAACTATATAGATATTCAAAATGAAAAGCAGAAGTGCCAGAATAAAATCCTCTAATATACCCCCTGAAATAATGAACACTCTAACACTGAAGAGAAAATTTTTTTTTCTTTTAATGATGTTCCAAAGCAAAGCACTCTCCACGAAAGACCACACATATTTAGGTCAGTTGTGGAAACATAATTTACTGTGCCTTCTGAGGCTATTAGAAGTGAATTATTTTCATACCTCCTGGATTAAAAGAAGCCTCCTATGTCTGCTACCAATTTAAATCATTCATTTCTTTTTATGGGCTGCTGAGATTGCCAAATAAAAACATGTAATTAGAGAAAAATGAATTTTTAAAAAAAGGTGTGTTTATCTCCTCACTTTTAGTCTTTAAATTTAAAATTGTGTTATTGTTGACTCTTAAAAAGTCCTCTTTTACAAGTGTATTTATAGGAAAACACGAAGAATTATTACAGTGTAGATGTAAAATAGAAAACCTTTACATATGAGGCATAGAAATGAGCACTGAACTTGAGGTTCTCAGGAGATAAAAATGACACAAAAATATATGATGCCACTGTTTTAATTAACCCATAGAGTAAAATATCTGTAATGTACTTAAATTATTTTACCACAGCTGGGTTGGTGTAAGGAAAAAATTTCACAGGGTATGTTTTGTGACTAATGGTCAAATAAAGTGTACCCAGAATTATTTTTAATGCAAGGGCATTTCCTGAGCACCCACAGTGACCCACACTTAGGTAGATGTACAAGTAGCTGTACCCTTTTCGCCACAGCCGGTAGTCTGTCTATCCACCCCCACACCACCCATTTATCCAACTTACTCATTTCAAATTTAGAACTTAGAAAATCAACATACTGTCCCCGGTCTTTCTATACTAAATGCCATTAACTGGAGATCTGGTGCTTGCAGTTATTTTTCTTCTGAGGGAAACTTTATAAGGAAATGCATGAATTGTGACCCTTCCACCGCTTGACCACATGCGACAGCACCCCGTGGAGACCGGGAGCGTCCTCATCATCACCCCCAGAGAGTTTGCCACCACCCCTCCTGCTCAGCCCTCACTCCTGCTCCATGTGCCTGCCAGAGACCTTCCCTGACCTCATTCCAACTTTTCTAGAACCTCTCAATATTGGAGCCCTGCCGTGTGTGCGCTTCCGGTGCAGCCTCTTTAACTGAGCACCGTGTTCGAAGCACACCCGCTCCCCTGTGTTTCAGTACCATCCCTCGGTGTACCATCCCTCGGCGTGGTCCGCTGCTATTTGTTTCATCATGCTGTCCCTTGGCATTTTGAGCAGAATTGTTCATAAAACACTTGAAATCCATAAAACACATGAAACGATGGCCGTGACCTGTCAGGTATAGGCGTTTCCACTACTCAATGGCAAGATTTGTGGAAAAGTCCTCATCAGTATTCAGCCTCATGCAGAGATTCAGCACCTGGTTCTGCTACCTTTTTTGTCTGTTCGAAAGGGTGCCTTCTCCCCTTTGTAAACAGTACTCAGAAATGAGGGCTGGCCCACAGAATATGGCCGCTATGGTGAGTTATGGCTATCAGGAACAAATACTGTAAGGTCATTCTTTCATAAGAAAGAGAAGAGGGCCTCCCTGGTGGTATAAAGGATTACGTCTTAGCACTATCAAGCTATCACCAGCCACTGCAGCACAAGTTCGATCCCCAACCAGGGAGCTGACCCACCACATGGCACAGCAGACCTCTCCTGTCTCCCTATTGCCTTCCCTCAGCTAGGTGTTTCAGTCACTCTTCCTTTCCTGCTCCCCACTCTGTCTCTGATGAATCCTCTCACCCTCCACATCTCTGGCTACACCCCAGTTCTTGTATGCATAAGTAAATAAAACAAAACTTTAAAAAGAAGAAGAGATAAAAGAGGACAGAATAAAGATTTCAGAACAGAATTATGCTTGAGTCAAAGGGAGATTGACAGGAATTGACTGGTATACAGTGAGGGCGTTCCCCTGAGTCAAAGGTGACATTCTGCCCTGGGCAATTCTGTCTTTGCTGCCTCTTCCTCAGTTTACCCCACTCATTCTTTTTTTTTTTTTTAAGATTTATTTATTTGTACATACAGAACTGGGGTACAGGCCAGAGGCTCAGGGGCGGTGAGAGGCTTCACCAGAGACAGACCCACTCATTCTTTTATCTTTCCTTTGGAACATTTCCTTAATACGCCCTGTGTGACACCCCACTAACCCTACCTGCTGTTAAATCAGTCTGCAAATGCACATTGAGCTCCTCCACATGAGAAGAGAAAAAGACCAGGTGGGATGAGGATGTCATGTCGTTAGATCCGACTGTTAAGAAATGTCCTGGGAATGGAGGGCCAAGATATGGCACAACCAGCTTCCATTCAGCCATGAATTGTGGGCTAGAAAGATGGAAAGAAAGTCTGTCTCACTTACGTTTCTGGAGCTAGGTGTCTGTTCGTGCCCCTGCAGGAGAGATGACTGATATTGTAGCACAGAGGCGTGTGTGCATCTATGGAAATGCACAAAGTGAGTGCAAGCACTGAATCACTTTGGTGCAGGCATTTAGGGAGGGCCCAGTTGGGGGGCAGTGTAGCCTCATGGCCAGGGCCCAAGCCCGGTCTCAGAGCGCTGTTCTTCAACGGAACATCCCATCTCCTTGGAATGTCATGTAATGGCAAAGCAGAAATGCATTGCAACATTGCTGGTTCTATTCTACTTCAAAATGTGGAGGAAGAAAATTATAAACCAGCCACTCCCCAAATTGCCCTTCTTGTCTTCATCTGCTTCCAAAAGGATGCTTATGCATCTCTGTAGTAGTTACTGTAGCTGAAAATGGAGATGTAGTCACTGGAGAGAAGATGTAATGGTATAGAGGGAAGGTAATACTTCTGAAGAAAAATGGGACCTCTCCAGACTCCATTATCTTGTAAAAATCTGTCAGCAGGTCATCACAGCAGTTGTTCCTCTGGGAACTGCTGACAATAATAATTAAAAAAAAAAAAGAGGGGTCCCTCCCTGGTGGCTCAGCGGGTTAAAGCACTGCACTAAGAAGCTTAAGCCACTTTTGCATAAGTTTGATTCCCGCCTGCCCCAGAGGAGATCCACATGGCCCGGCAGACCTCTCCTGACCCACCCGCTCCCCTCAGCAGTGTACTTCATCGATCTGCCTGTTCTGCTCCCCACTCTGTCCCGGGTGAATCCTCTCACCCTCCGCATCTCTGGCCTGTACCCCAATTCTGTATGAATAAATAAATAAATCTTTAAAAAAAAAAAAAGATGTCTCAAATGACAAATCAGAATCCTGTTTTGTTGTTTCTTACTATCAGAGCAGAATACAAACCAGAGAAACTGCCTTCACATTCCTTTGAGGTTGACCATGAAGACGCTGATAAGGATGAAGTAAGTCAATGGCTGAAAGTGAAATGTTTCAAACATGAGGACCAGTTCCTGGCTTTCACTAGAGCATCTCACATGCTAACCCTTATTCGCAGAGTTGCAGTAACTTGTTAGGGGGAGGGGGGCGAGCGGGTGCTTTTTGTGCATGTGAATCATGTTTGCTTGGGGAGATGGAAACTGGTGATTGAGAAAGGCAAAGTGAGAGCCGCACAGCTCTGCCGCGTGGGGGCGCTGGCCTCACAGGTGATTGCAGGTTCCCTAACGACTCGTTTGCACAGGATACCACGTCCCACTCGTCCTCCAAGGGTGGAGGGGGAGCAGGAGGCCCAGGCGTTTTCAAGTCTGGCTGGCTCCACAAGGGCGACTTCAACAGCACCGTGAACAATACCGTGACTGTGCGGGTAAGGAGACATCGAGCGCCCTTTGGCCCTGCCGCCTCTCCTGACACCCCATCCTCGGTCACCGCACAGGGGAGGGCCGTTTGCATCGAGCTCATGTTTGGTGTCAAATGTTATTTATGAGAGAGGAGGATGTTCTGCTCTAGAGGAAGGCGCTAGTCGAGTAGCACTCACAGGGCCTTAGGGAAGGTCTCATTTCCATGAGTAATAGCACATGGCAAACTTGAATCACCTTTTGTCTCTTTTCCTCTAGTCTTTCAAAAAGCGCTATTTCCAGCTCACTCAGTTGCCAGATAATTCCTATATCATGAACTTTTACAAAGATGAAAAAATATCCAAAGAACCCAAAGGCTGCATCTTTTTGGATTCCTGTACAGGTGTGGTACAGGTGAGTGGAAATCCCGTTGCTCCCTTGGGTTTGTGAAATAGAAAAGTGTGGCCACCCTATTCTGTCATGTATTCTACAAATGTTTATGGAGTAGATGATGTGAGTAAGAGCTGTCTAGACTCTGGGATTTCAGTGGAGAGCACGGCAGCACAGATCCCTGTTATCACAATAAAGGAAGAAAACAGAATTAAACCAAGAAATAAGTAACCATGATGGACTGAGTGGGTGAAAACTGGAATAAAGAAAATAAACAGAGTTGCAGAAGAAAAAGAAGTGGTGAGGTTAGAATGCACCATCAATGTTCCAGAAGAACAATACTTTTTTTCAAGAAATTATTTGATCTAGAAACTCACCAATGAGCAGGGGTGGCAAGTGCAAAGGCCCTGGGACAGCCAGTGCAATCACCTCTGGTTTATTCAAGAAAAAGAAGAAATGGCCTCCTGGTTATCCACAGCGTAGAGAAGCACTGAGCTAAAGAATTCAATAAGATAATGTGTGATCAAGTAGGTCAAAAAAAATGCATTTCATTGAAGCTGTTTTTGATGTTAGTTAATAATGAAATAGCAAAGTTGCTGCAAACAGGTGCCCAATCCTCCATCCAAGAGGAGGTTCAGATCCTTCAAAAATGGGACTTGAATGTCAGAAACCATGCTTTTAACATGGCACTCAGTCTTCAAATTCATGTCCTTTGCATTAGGTTTGGCATGGCCAAAAGCAGGACAGGACCATAGACCTCATTTGTCCATGTTCTTTCAAAACCTGCATTCCTTCTTTTCTGATAAGATAGTTTACCTTATTTCCTCTTATGTGATATTGAAGCAATCCAGTGTTTTAGCAATCTCACCTCAATTTTACATCAAGATGCTGTTTCAGGCCACACAAGTCGTGCGGTGCAGTTTGGTCTTTTACCTCCAGGCCACAGGCATGCACAGACCTTGCTGGATAGGAGAGATTATTCCATCTTGCATTCACTCCAGGGCCACTAGCATATGGGGATGCAGAGTCGAGTTCTCTGCACTCACTCAGATCCAGCCTATTTCTGGATAGTTCACCTGTTAAAGTCTGGACTTCCTCCAAAAAGTAACAATGCTGAACTGTAAAAGGAAAAAATTAATTAAGCAGTGCTGAGCATGCGGCTAGAAGTGAAAGATAATTGCATTTTAACACAGAAGCCAGCTTTCCATGTGGGAAGGGCAGTAAGGATCCTCACAGGAGGATGGAGATAGTTTTCTGTTCTGGGTCACAAAAGAGATTCTTTGGCTTTGGAAATACAAAGTAACACTCGAATAAGAGGTTCAAGATCAATAGCTCCATTTTATAGACACTGAGCTGAAGAACGTAAATATTTTCTTTTCCTGTCCTACTTCCAAGTCTGGGATAACAATGGGGTCATCAGGTTTTAAGGAGTTTCATCGTAAGCCTTGTTATGCATTAAGTTTGCAGAGATCTGGATAATCTCTCCTTTCTTTTTTCAAGAATCATGTAACTTGTCTGAACACACCCTAGTGATGTCCTCTGACTTCCCACCCTAGTGATAACCTCTTCTCCATCCTCTCAGGCTGTGTTGCTTTGGAAAGCAATGTCAACAGTCTCTGTTGAAGGCAGTATTGCCTAGGAGGACACAATTCTGAGGTCTGTCCAGGTTAGCATTCAAATCCCCATTTACCAAGGCTTTGAGTAAGTTGCTCAGACTTTTTGATCTCAGATGCCTTAAGTAAAAGACTAGAATAAATGTGCCACTACAGGAAAAGGATCTGGGAGACAGCTTGCTTCTTCCCTAGTTCTTCCATTGATTATAAATGTCACAATTTGGAGAGAGAGATATTCCACTGTGGAAAAGCCCTCCTAGAAAATCTGAATGTGCTTTCCTGCTTTATCCAATTCATTCAACAGACTTTCTTAGGGCTTGTAGCATGGAAGAAGTTATGCTTAGGCATTGGGAATTCCCTATTAAGTCACAACCAGGGAGAACATCATCTCATACCTTGTGATTAATCACACAGCATCACAAGAGCTAGAAAGAGAGTATAAATGGCTGGCACTATGGAATATTCTAGAAGTACAGTACAGTAATGAATGATCTTGGGTTGGCAGGAAGACTGTACAAAAAATATGGGTCTATAAGTGGTAGTCCTCAATGTAGATTTTACATATTAAAGCACAGCTGAATAGTTGCACATCATTTTCAAATCAATAGTCTCTTAAATATTTGGGAACATGGATTACATCTTTTTAGAGTTCAGCTCTGCATCCCTTCATTTACATTCCTCTTTACCAAGCACTTCTTACCCTTTTGTAGCAGGAGGCACCTCCAGTTTCTTAAGATCACTTGGGAAGACAGACACCCAACCTGCCTGTCCCCACGTGTCTGGATCCCAGTTCCTATTTGCATACAGCTCTTACGTCAAACTTTTAAGTCCTCACATCTGGAAAGAACATTCTGATTGAGAGAGTGAAAGTTCAGTTGTTGCTCTGGCAAACTGTCAAGTACACAATGTGCCCAGAGAAGAAACACATACACCCAAAAGGACCAAGCAAGTGAAAACTAGGTTGAGTCAGACCTACTTTGTCAAGAATCATGGTCAGTTTCCCTTGAATGGAACAGCACAGCGGAACACGACCCTCTTGGCAAGCCAGGTACCTCGGACACCTTAGAGAGTTCACACTCGTAACAACCTTTATGAGCAAGTCATTTAGGACCCTAGGAGTGGCCTTGGAATCCTGAGCAATAGATTTCAAGGATGAGCTCCAGTCAACAGAAACTCCTATCCATGTTTCTGAGAGACTTTGGGTGATGTTTGTGGCTAGAAATTTCGGGATTTGGTTTTGGGTGTTTTTTGTTTTTTGTTTTTTTAAGATTGATTTATTTACTCATACAGAACTGAGGTACAGGCCAGAGATGTGGAGGGCGAGAGGATTCACCAGAGACAGAGTGGGGAGCAGAACAGGCAGACCGATGAAGTGCACTGCTGAGGGGAGCAGCGGACAGGTCAGGAGATGTCTGCTGCACCATGTGGTCACCTCCAGGGTGGGAATCGAACTCATGGTGAAGTGGCTTAAGCTTCTTAGTGCTGTGCTGTAACCCGCTGCACCACCAGGGAGGGCCAATTTAGGTTGTTTTGTTTTGTTTTGTTTTGTTTTTTTAAATAAATAAATAAGACCTAACAGTATATTTCTTCTTTTTCTGTAATATCAACAGACAGTTTTAGATCTGTTTTATACCTCTTGTATTTCCAATCTGGACTAGAACTCTCAGTTTTGTTGTTTTGGCTTTAACCTGGAATTAAGAGATAATTAAGCCAGTGTTATTCCGTCTTGTTCCTTCAGTCCTGACATTCATTCATCCATTCATTGGCCGAGCCATACATGCATTCAGTGCAGCCTCTGTGCAAGAGAACAAATAGCCGAGTCCTGTCTCCAGCCCTTTATCAATAGAGATAATTGATAACACGTCATGCAGGCTTACATGGTGGTGGTGGGGTGCAGAGCACCTCATTCCTCCTAGGCGCTGAGTCTGCCACCTTGTGGTGGTGACTTCCAAGACAACAGCCTTATGTGCTTAACCAAAGTGTGGAAACCTAGACACCTTCCAAGGCCGTGGAGAAGTGGGGCCAGGTGTGAGGCAATAGGGAGTGGTGTGGACTGAGGAGAACCTGGAGTACACAAACCCGCAGAAACACACTCGGGTTGAGAGGGAAATAAAAGTACCAGCCAAGGAAAACAAACCAAAAAGTCAGGTATGACCTTCTTTCCTCCCATTAGCAAACTGGCTCTAAAGCATCTCACATCCCATGACAATAATAAAACTCCGAATGGCGATTATCATTTGCTCAATCTCATTTATTATTTGACAGCAGTTGCTAGAGCGTACATTGCCATTTATTAAAATAAACCTCCATAAAGTAGTGTGGTTTCAGGCCCTCCCTGGTGGTGCAGAGGGTTAAAGGAGAGCACTGCAAGCTAGCCACAGCCGCTTCAGTGCGAGTTCCATCCCTGCCCCAGAGGTGACCCACATGGAGCAGCAGACCTCCCTTATTTTGCCCACTGCTCCCCTCAGCGGTGTACTTCCTCCATCTGCCTATTCTGCTCCCTACTCTGTCTCTGGTTAAGTCTCTCACTGTCCCTGCACCTCTGGCCTGCACCCCGGTTATGTATACATGAATGAATGAATGAATGAAATCATTTGAAGACTTTAGTATCAAAAACATTATAAAAAAAAAAAATAGGGGCCCTCCCTGGTGGCACAGCAAATTAAAGCACAGCACTGAGAAGCTAAAGCCACTTCTGCATGAGTTCGATCCCCACCCCAGCGGTGACCACATGGTGTGGCAGACCTCTCCTGACCTGCCCACTGCTCCCCTCAGCAGTGTACTTCCTTCATCTGCCTGCTCTACTTCCCACTCTGTCTCTAGTGAAGCCTCTCACTGCTCCTGCACCTCTGGCCTATACCCCCTTCTGTATGCATAAATAAATAAATCTTAAAAAAAAAAAAAAAAGTGTGTGCTTTTCCCAAGTTGCAGAACTAAGAAATGGCAACACAAGAGCTGAGGTGGAGGAATGTCCAAACGTTGAAGGATGCCTGAGGCTTCGATGGCGTACAGATGTGTGCAGCCAAATAATGCGCTGGGCAGAAGAAACTCGACGAAGGCAGGACAGTGAGCAGGATTTATTTCTGCAAAAAATATGTTGAAAATTTTGTTTTATTCAAAGCACTGGGGCAAAACCAAATATGAGTAAGATAAGGCTTCTGTCCTCAAAGAGGGCCCAGCTTGTGGGAGTATGCAGAGAAAAAGACAATCTAGAACAGGCAAATGAAACATGAGGGGCAAATCTCAAAAGGTTCTGTAAGAGCAGAACAGCATCACCACATGATGGTATCGTATATAGATGTTAACATATATTACACTTGCTATACTTCTGCCTGTTTGTTCACAGACACTCAGTATGTTAGAATATAAATTCAAGGAAGGTAAACACTTTCCAGACAGAGACTGCAAAGGGTTGCACATTGGTGGCCTCCAATACCTGATTTGGTGTTGCGTGTTTTCTTTGCAAGGTCTTCTCTTACTCCTGCAAAATTCTGTGAAAGAGGCTGTAACACCAGAAGTACAGTGTTAGATTTTGTGGGCTAACATCCTTGTACATTCAGCCCTCCTTGGTGCTGGTGGCTTTGGGGCCAGACCTACCTCAGGACATTTCCAGGAGCATATTGTACCTCAGAGCAGTGCTACCGCTCATTCAACAATCCAAGCAGCAGGACCCACCAGGCTCCTGCAAGTGGTGAAGCCACGGAGACAGACGTGAGCGTGAGTGAGCAAAGCTATGCATTGACCATGAAGATTACTTGGCATCAGGGAAATGGAGGAGCCTGTGCAGGGCTAAAGAGGGAAGATGATTTCTAGCGATTACCATTTTAATGACAACAATTGCATTTTAACATTATCCAAATGTCCCATTGATTTTCTATTTCTGTCCTTGCTCTTTTGCTGTTTTATATGCCATTATCTTGGAGACTACAGAGTGAGGTAGAAAGCCACTTAGGTGTCTCAGCCTTGCCCCACACACTCTCTGAGCTGCAGCTGGCTCTATTTCACTCTAAGTAGACAACGATCATTTGACTTTTGGAAGGTTGCAAATAGAATATGTATTTCATTTATAAATAACCGGTTTTTGAGAAACAAGGACACGTACTTTGCTCATATTTGAAACGATATTCCAAAATATTGTTGTTCGCAACCACATTCAATTCGTTTAGAGTACAGAAAGTAACTTAGAAAATCAGACTTTATGTCTGTCTTATGATGTTTCTTTCTAACAGCTCACTCTTCCTTGGCATCTGAACCCACTTTTTATTTCTCCCCAATGGAAGCATTTGCATAGCTTTATGTCTCCCTGTCCCCATGACATACATATCAGAATAATTTAGCAGCTTGTTTTGTTCTCAAGCCAATGCTAAAATTTGCTTACATTTTGCTAAACTCAAATAGCAAGCAACGTCCTGGCAAAAACCGAGCCTTGAACTTGGTATTTCTAGTCTTTTCCTTAGTGCCTATTTCTGTTCCTATTTTTCTGCTTTGTTAGAAACTTGCCTTCCTTACACCAGCCTTCAGCCTTCTTGCCTTTTGCCCTTGGGCCATCTCTGCAGATCAGAGTGGTTTCCTGAAGCTTCTCATGAGAACCTCTAGGAAATGTGTAGGAGGGGGAGGGGGGGGGGGAATGTGGCTTCTAAGAATTTGCATTCTCAAACAGGCTGCCATACTACATCTTGGGGCCTCTGCCTTCTGGAGACCTCTGAAACCAAGTTGATCATCCAAAATACAATCCTGTTCTCAAGAAGAATCTCTTTGTTCGATCTTCACCCACAATTGCACTCTAGAGTGACATGCTTATCTCTAGATGTGCCTTCATTTTTATTTGACTCAGTTGAATTTTTATCAGTGTTGGCCTTTGCTTGACTACAGTTGTGGATGTTCTAGAGGCTTTAGGGCACGTAGGTCTGAGTTGGATACCTGAGAACACATGAAGGATGGAAGAGTTCCAGTCATTCCTGCCAGCACCCCAAGTTATATTATACGGGTTTGTATCTTTGAGAGGAAGTTTCCACTTTGAATTTATATTTCTGATCTCATGGCAAGAATATATAAAAGTGTCATGAAAATTTTCTCTGCACTTTACATGTGCTTCCTGATCTTTAAATGATCCATTCTTTTATACAGATGACAACCTGGACATCTGTTCTGTGGTCAATGAAGGGAGCGACTCATCACATGAGTCCTTTTTAATTCTCTGCACAACAGAGAATCTTTGTTTTACAGATTGTTCATCCTTTCAATCACGCCTTCATTTACCTCTTCCTACCAATGTCAGTTCTCCTAGAATATGAGTTTACGTTCTTCCATTCATAAAGTATGCCTTTTTTCGGGTCCAGGATCTACTGGATATAGTGGTGAGCAAAATTGAACCATCCTTCATGGGGTCAGCCATGGAAGATGTAGATTGGTCAAAACAAACAGGTGAAAATGAATAAGCATATGACTCTGAACTGTCGGGAATGTTCGAGTGCAAAACCTTGCCCTGAGGAAGTGGGAAAAGCTTACCTGAGCAAGTACAGCACCTGAAGAGTGAAGATGAGTCAAATAACTACCTGAATAAATGTCACAGAGACTGCTGGCTGCATGGGGGGGTGCCAGAGGCTGCTTCAGACCAGGAGGTGGCCCCAAGTGTGTGACAGGCATGACTCCCGGAATGGGATCTGGTCCCGCTGTTCATCACAGAATTCACAATGGGAAAGTCATGTTAGAGGCCAGGGTAGAGAAAGCAATCAGGGTACCAGCACAGGTGGGTGTCATCTGAAGTCATTGGACCAGATGAGAGAGAAAGGAATCCGAGGTACAGATGGGGTGAGCCTTGGGGCCCCCAATAAGTAGGAAGACTAGTAATAGGCGATAGCAAGCAGGCACCCAAAGAAGAGAAGTGAATACCAGAATAGCATGTGGTCATGGAAATGGGAGAAGGACGCTTTTGAGGAGGAAAATGTGGCCGCTGTTCATTCTGCTATGAGGTCAGAGGTCAAGGAAGGCAGAGAAGCATGGTCCTCTGACTGGGAAGCCGATGCCACTGTGAGCAGCCTTGGCAAGGGCTGCCTCTGGGTTGTGGCAATTTGAGTGTAACAGAGAGAGCTACGATAGGACAAAGGTGAGGAAGCAAAGGCAAAACTCAAAGCAGACAGTGGATGATGCAGGGGCCTGAAGGTAAATGATGGAACCAGTGGATGTTCTCATCCAGTCAATAGAAACCGAAGTAAAACACCTCTCTGAGTCCAAACACATTCATCTATGTGTCTGTCCTCCTTGGAAGATCTTTTTGCTGCCTCCTTGGATGGAAAGGCCTTAAACACAACCTCATAAAAAAAATATCACTTTTGCCCTACCCTTTCTCATCTAGCATTCTGTTCTCTTTCTTTCTTTTTATACCACAGAATAACAGATTAAGAAAATATGCCTTTGAATTGAAAATGCATGACCTGACCTATTTTGTGCTGGCAGCCGAGACAGAGTCAGACATGGATGAATGGATCCACACCCTCAACCGCATCCTGCAGATCAGCCCCGAGGGGCCCCCCCATGGGCGGAGGAGCATGGAGCTCACCGACCTGGGACTGGGTGAGCTGCTCTCCGCACTTGCTGCGCCCTGCCCCGTGGGCCCATTCAAGTAGCTGGCTGCTGAGGTAGCTGCCAGGTGTAGCTCATCCATCCTGAGCTGTTTGCTCCCAGAACTCGCTCCCAAGTCTTCCCCTTTACTGAAGAGGGAGGGTCCCTATGCAGGTATGGTTTAAGTGGACAGGCACTGGTTTGCTCTCTCCCAGTGAACGATGTTGGGAGTCACCTGTCCGCAAAATCAAAACTGTACCCACATCTGACAGACGCTACCTTAGAGGAGGTTCTTACTGTATTTTATAGCCTTTTGTTGCATTTAATAAGGCACTATATTCTGCAGGGGCAAATACGCTTACCCTCCTTTTGGTTGAACATGATCTTTTCATCTGTGCTTTCAGACTCTACTGATGCCATTTATATGTGAACATTCTATAAATGTGTTGTGGTATTTAAGATTCTTATAAGATACAGATATTATTCTTCTACGCAGTCTAATACCCTCTTAAGATTCTAATTCTTTGTAGAACAGAGGAGGGAGCTAGAGGAGAAATAAAGGGTGAAAAGAAAGGTAGAAATAAAACAGACCTGTAGCTTTGTGGACGTCAAGGATAAGTCAGAGCCAGTGGCTATTCTCAAAAAGAAACCTGTTTCAAGGCATTTTACTGAATGCTATGATACATTAGAAATCAGCGTCTTTAATTTCTAGCAGTCTCACCCTCCCAAAGAATCATGGAATGTTTAGGAAGAAAATTATTGTTGGTTTCAACACAATTACAATGTGTATTACATGTATGTGGTATGTTTATTTCTCTGCTTTTACACCATATATATGATAGATATACACACATCCCTGGAGGTGTTATGCATTTGTAAGTCACTTAATGATGATGATCAAGTAGAATATTAATGCTTACCTACAGCCAGAAGGTAAGTATTAAAATGGTGACCTAAAAATCAGACTTGGCAAACACACATAGGTTAGAAACCTTTCGAGTGATAAAGTAGTAAGTAAAGACAACTCCAAGCATGAGCGCAGTGACTGGGCGCGTCCAGAGTTCTCATGAGCACAGGACAGTGTCAGGGACAGAGCCCCAGGTGGCCCTCTTGTCTCCAGGTCTCTACCAATGTGAGTCCTGAAGCCAGGACACAACGGAGGCCTTTCGTTCTTGAGTCTCACTGACCTGGTGTGTCACAGGCAAGAGAAAAGCTTGTCTCTTGAGTATCATTCCTTCTGTCATGCTGTGTCTTTTTAAGATTCGCTGGATAATGCTGTAACTTGTGACTCCACACCAGAAGAAACCGATTCTTCAGAGAGCCTACACCCAGACTTCACAAAAGTAATAAAGCTGACATTTTATTATGCAAATGTATTTGAATTACTTATCAGTTATTGTTTTCCTGGCAGAAGTGGGAATGTTTTCTTCCAAGATTTAGACAATGAAACTAATTAAGAACTGTGCTGAACCTATGGGCTTTATTTAACATACACTCAACACTGAAAAATGAAGGCATGTTTTTATAAGATTGTGAGTGTTCACAAGATGATGTTAAAACATGTTGTCCCTCCCTGGTGGCGCAGCGGGTTAAAGCACTGCACTGAGAAACTAAAGCCACTTCCGCATGAGTTCGATCCCTGCCTGCCCGGGAGGTGACCACATGGCGTGGCAGACCTCTCCTGACCCGCCCGCTGCTCCCCTCAGCAGTGTACTTCATCGATCTGCCTGTTCTGCTTCCCGCTCTGTCTCTGGTGAATCCTCTCACCCTCCGCATCTCTGGCCTGTGCCCCAGTTCTGTATGAATAAATAAATAAATAAATCTTTAAAAAAAAAAAAAACATGCTAACACTAAAGGGCTATTTCTTAGTCATATGGATGTGACTGGGCTGGATTTACAGATACCAAGAGCTAACAGCATTTTCCCTGTAGTACCTCACAGAAACTGAAGAGACTGTCAGAACAACTCGAAACATGGACAGGCTGAATCTCTTCTCTCTGGACATAGCTGCAGATGTAAGTCAGAACTGTTTTTCACACAGTTGTAATTTTATTTACAATTTGCTCTTTTATGATGTGTTTCTGAGTAAAATTATAAAACAAATTTTAGGAAATGAAATGTCCAAAAAAGGATCTTTCAGAACCCGATTCTGTGGTCAAACCATTTGAAGAAAAAGCTGCCAAGAGAATCATGATCATTTGCAAAGCTCTCAACTTCAACCTTCAGGGATGCATTACGGAGAATGAAAATGATCCAATAACCAATGTAAGTTATGTCACTACTCTTAGGCAACTATTTGACAGTTATTGTGGAGATTAAATGAGATAATATAAGGAAAGTACTTAGTGCTTGGTGCACAGAAAGTATTCATGAAATATTAATTTTTCTAAATGTGGAAAGTACCTTTGAAATCCATGAAATATAATGCAGACCAGGTATTGATATTTCCATGTTATATGTAAGATTCTTATTGATGAGTTAACAGTGTCATCAGTGACAATCATCCCCCTCAGTGCAGCTTCTAAGTATTTTGATTGTAACTGACTAGGTATGAAGAGTAAAAGTAGGAGAAGTCAAGTTTACTCATTTTCCAGTAAACACTCAGTGTGCCTTCTGGGAGCCCAATTTCCTGGAGAAACAGCAGGAAACAAGAACAGCAAGGGCCCTGACCTCTTGAAGATTAGATGCTTTGTGAAAAGAACAGAAAGTAATTGCATGCTGGGGAAAGTTCCTCACAATTATTCAGTAGTGAAAGATGTGCCACAGAGGAACAGGGGAAAGGATCGCTCTAAACAGGGTGAACATGGAAAGTCTACCTGAGAAGATGATGTTTGAACCTAAGTGTCGAGAGATAAAGAGGAAAGTCCAGGGAAACCATTCTAGACAGAAGAAAGGAATTGCAAATGTTCTGAGAGAGAGGAGTCTTGACAATTCTAGAAACTGAACAGACATAGTGGAGGGAAGGGCAGGCCAAGGTGAAGTTGGAGAAGCAGTGGGAGAGAAGACTGTGTGGGGTCTGGAAGCGGTCGCGAAGTTTGGGTTTATCCTAGGTGTGCGTGGAGGCAGCTCCAGAGTTTAAAGCACTATAAAATGATGCAATTCTGATTTAAAAGATCCCACCATAATTAAGGATTGGAGAGAAAGAGGGAATGTTGAAGTAGCGACCACAGCCTTGGTGACTAGGATTGGTGAGGAAGAAGGAGATAAGTGAGTGGACTTGCCTGATGTTTTGTAAGCCGAGCTAAATTTTTCAGACTCACCAGACATCCCAGGATACGGGGATGAGAAGCCAAAGCTCCGTCTTTGCTTTTGTTTGAATGTTCTTGTACCTAGTGGTGCCATTTAGTGAGAGGACAAGATAAAAGGAAGAACATATTTGGGGGACACCGGTCACAAAGCCCACCATGGACAGGTCAAGCTTGATGGACCTGTTAGATTTCCAGATACATGTATCCTAAAGGAAATGCATGAATGGAGCTCTCAATTTACAAGCTTAGTTTAGCGGTAGCATGGAAGGAATCCTCTAGGAATGCCCGTGCACATAGAGAATGGACCAGGAACAAGATTTTCAAGAATGGATAGAGAAGTGACTCAAGAAGATGAAGGAGGAAGAGCCGTGCATGGAGATCAGCAGGAAAGGGCAGGCCATGATGCAAGAGAAAGGCCAGCTGTGAGCAAGTACAAGCGAAACATGGCCCAGGGAGGGACCCCAGTGACACTAGAAACTTAGTTCTTGAAACTATGTTGAAACAAGATCAATTCTCAAAACTGATATTGGAAGTATCAGTAAAATGGATATGTCACATAATTGTGACATATTAAATAAACACAAAAGCATGTTTTTGGCGGGGGTGAGGGGGAGATTCTTAGCCATGATTTCCAAATCCAGTTTAGAAACACACTCAAATGTAGTAGGTTTTCATTTCTTTATTTTTTTTAAAGACTTATTTCAGTTATTTATGCATGCAAGAGCTAGGGTGTAGGCCAGAGATATCGGGGCTGAGAGGATTCATCAGAGACAGAGTGGGGAGCAGAATGGTAGATATACTGAAGTACACACTGCTGAAGGGAACAGCGGGTGAGACAGGAGAGGTCTGCTGCACCACGTGGGTCAGTCCCTGGCGGGGCACCGAACTTGTGCTACAGTGGCTGGCAGTAGCTTCATAGTGCTGAGACTTAACCCCTTGTGCCACCAGGGAGGCCCAAAGGAAGCAGGTTTTCTATATAGTGCCAGAGGCATAGACTCATCCCATTTGGGTTCCTTTCTTTGTTCTAAAAACCACACTCAATGCTTGCTTTATTTGTGCTGGTCAGGCCAGGCAGGTGAGACACAACTACTTTCAGAGAAGCCTCCAGATGCTCTTCTCTCTCAGCCAGAGGGGTGAGCTGCTGGGAGTGCTTTGTATGTCTATATTGTTTCATTCTATTTAATAGTTGATACAATGTTAAAATCTAGGGAAGAAATTTTAAAAAATAATTTCAATGTGATTATCAACAAAATAGGAAGCTAATAAAAAGGGCCTTAGGTGAATTCAACAATTTCTTATGTAATAGTGTTATTCTTTGTTTTGAAATTCATTGTTTTTCATTTAGTGAGCTTGCTTATCAAATAATTAAAGTATTTCTCTAAGTTACTGCAAAGTCCTCTACTGTATTTAATGAATGAGTTTCTAAAAATCTTCCTTGAAAGAACTTTTTCATGATGAGGAAACATTTGACAACCTATAATTTTTTAGTCAGTAGGTTGAAAACCAAATTCATGTTGATGGCTTTATAATATAAAATGCTTTTTGAAAATAGGAATTAATTCAAAAATCCAGACTCATAAGGCTACTTCACAGCAGAACTTCATTTAAAGTTTTATGTTTTTGTATTTTTTAAAATAAGAATACAGAATTCTAAACATAAGAAATCTATGACTCAATTTGTTAGGCTTTGAGCTGCTTTGTTAAATGAATACTTTTGAAAAGCCAGTGGTTCAAAAGGTAAGATTTGACATTTAAGTTGAAAAAGATGGATTGGAAGAAATAAATGAATCACCATGTGGGCTTTAATTTCTGATGGAATATCAAAGCAGGTAATTTATTTCCACTCAGTGGAAAGGAAAATCAAAATGTGACAATGAAGAAAAAAACAAGTTTTTTCTTTTGACTTTCTGTGTATTTGAATACCTTACCTGAGTTCTTTCACATAATTTTTGCATTTTATGATTCTTAGATGCCTGGCACTACCACAAGCCAAGAGCTGTTCTCAATTAAATTAAATTGGTAAAATATAAAACTTATTTTTTATTTGTTCTAGTTTAACTTAATATCTTAATTGTGATTTTTCTATATTACCTGCTTGTCCACATAATACTAACAGATGATAGGATTAATTCAAAATTAAGAAGCATAAACAAAAATAGAACTACTGGTTTTTTATAAATATATTCAATTTTTACAAGTCTGTTGTATTATACATATATACACACATGTAATTACATATATGTGTGCATATAATTATACATATGTATATGTGTGTAATTTTACATGCATATATTTATTTCAGTTCTTGTTTTATGTACTCTGTTACATTTGCTGTTTTTCTAGTTGAAAACTGTCTTCAGTGTTTCTTTTTCAATTTCTGTGATACTGTGGCAACATTTAAAATTTTTTTTGTTGGTGTTTTTAAATTTCTTTCTTTCCCTAACTTCCCCTACAAACCCTTTACTCTGCCCCCATCTCTGCTTTTATATGTTGCTACTTTTCAGAATGTCATTCAATTCTTTTCCCCTTATTTCATGACTTAATTCTTTTCCCCTTATTTCATGACTCATCCCACATACAAAAACCTCTCAGGTCCAAATCTCCAGCATAACTGACTTGATTGGGCTCCAAACTCATGTATCCAACTGCCTCAGGAGTGTCCTGTTGATCGAACAAAGTAGACTAATGAGAAGGAGAAGTACACTAATAATAGAGTGTGTGCTTGTGGGTGTGTGTGTGTGTGTGTGTGTGTGTGTGTGTCCCAGTAACAAACACCCAGTTCTTGGTTTCTAAATGTCACCCTCACTTAAAGGAATCAGGGCTCTGTGGAAAAATGACTTGGCAGGGAGAGTGCAAAATAATCCTCGACCATCTTACTGGGTGGAGAAGTGCCCAAGACATGAGGCACTCTGCCATTTAGACACAGGCATCACCTTGAAGGTAGTGCCTTTAGCCAGACCTGGGCAACTGGAGGGTTACTATAAATGATGAGAGAGGACACTGCAGGCTATTGGGATAGCCTAGTCTGCACTCGTCTGCATTTTTGTTAATAAGTGTAAGTAAATAAATGAAGGAGAAGGACCTGGCTCTGGTCCTTGATCGCAGTGGGACTTATCAGTTGGGTTGGTGGATGAACAGCATCACATTGGGTTACCTCAGACGACATCTCAAAAAATATAAAATACTTAGTAAAGGGAATCCAAGGACTGTATAGGGGTGAAGACCAGCAGATACCAACATGACCAGAATACAGGTTAACATTTGCAGGCGTTGGATGGGGTAGCCAACTTTGTGAGCTCCTAATATATTGAACTGTAAAAATCAAACATCAGTGTAGGATGTAACTGCCAAAGAAAAGTGTGTTCTGTGGCTGATTATGAGGAAGCATCAAGGCACATGAGATGGCAGTATTTTTTGACAGTGCAGGGGAAATAACCAAAAAGACAAAATCGTGTACTGGTACAATATATGAAGAAAGACTTGGCAAAATTCTAGAATGAAAAAACCAGTGACATAAACTACTGGGCTCTGCAGTGCCTGCTACAGAAAAGGACTCTGGGGACTTCCTTATAAATATTATCTATGCCATTTATTTTTTATCTAGTTATATATGATAAATGTACCCTGTAGCATATATTTTAGTACAATATGTGACGTATGAACATTATATGATTGCATTTGGCCCTTGAACAACATGCATTTGAACTGCATAGCTCTACTTACCCAGGGATTTTTTTCTACCCATGTGACCTGTGTGCATGGCTGTTGCCTGACTGGATCTTTAGAGGTAGAGCTGTGCTTCAGAGGACTGACTGCAAGTGACATGCAGATTCTCAGCTGTGCGGTGTTGGTGCCTTATCCTCTGTGTTGTTCAAGGGCCAATTGCAGGTTAGATTAGATTAGCTGTACTACATCTAAAATATGTATTTAGGCTCTATAAGACATAGTATAGAATATATAACTATAAAGAGAAACATCAAACTATGTAGGTAGTAGCAAGTTCTCTACCATCTGATTAAATAATCTATTGAAAAAGTCCATTACAGGTGTCATGTTTTGATGCCCAACTCATCAAGTTTTTTTCTTTTTCCTACAGATTGAGCCTTTCTTTGTGAGTGTGGCCCTTTATGACCTCAGAGACAGCAGGAAGATTTCTGCTGATTTCCACATCGACCTGAACCACACGACTGTCAGGCAGATGGTGTCCGGGGCTTCGCTGCCCTTGGAAAATGGGAACATCGACACTGTCTCTCCCAGACAGTCAGAGGAGCCTTGCATCAGGGGGTTTCCAGAGGAATGGCTGAAATTTCCAAAGCAGGTTGCACTTGGGTTTCCACAGGATGAGACAGAATAATTCTTGTTCCGTTGTCCTTACCAATTATATAAAAATAGCATTGCCCCCTCTCAAATTCCATTAAAGTTGCTCTTTAAAGACAGCGAAATCTTGTAAATGTCTTCAGTCTGGTTTCCTGAGTGCTTATTAGTTTTCTTTGCCCATAGGCTATATTTTCTGTCAGCAATCCACATTCTGAAATTGTTCTGGTGGCCAAAATTGAGAAAGTGCTGATGGGAAGCATTGCAAGTGGAGCTGAACCTTATATTAAGAACCCTGACTCCAACAAGGTACGGCCAGGGGTATCTAGAAATCCTTTCTGTTGCTTTCAAAAAATGCGCTCATAGTGGATTGATGAAAAGTTTTCACCATCTAGTTCTTGATATACTCACAAAGTAGTGAAACAAATATCCAGGAAAATTTCCAAATACAGATATTCTTGGTTGGTACAAATGTGCAGTTTGTGAAAAGTGGCATTCTAAACAATATTTTTATCTTCTGTTCCCAGTATGCACAGAAGATTCTAAAATCCAACAGGCAGTTCTGCAGCAAGCTCGGGAAATACCGGATGCCATTTGCCTGGGCAGTGAGGTAGGCTGAGAATTGCAACCCATGGGACAGAAATGCATTTCTAGACCGATGAGAAGTTCCTGATACAAACACCCCATGTTATTTTTTTAATATACCCACACATCGAAGAATGTTCATGTGTTCATCTTCATAAACACCTTGAACTCCCCTGAAATATGATTTACCAATTTATGGGGACAACTCATAGTAGAGTTTCATGACATGTACCCAGTGGGCATGACCAGGTATGTTATGGGTTCCTGGCGGGATCAAATCAAAGGCATGACTATTTATCAGGTACTTTGCCATCAGTCGGTCTTGGGAACAAGTGTCCTACACTATGATTTCTTATGCATCTGTGTGTTTTCATCTATGCGTAGAGCTCTATATATGGATGTCCTTATGAAACCATTAAATTCCTCATTTAAGCTCTCTTTGATGTTGGAGCTGCTTAGCATGCCAACTTTATCAATGCCAGCTGACTGGATGAAGTGCTGAGTTATATGGGCACTGATTGCAGAATCATCCTCGTAGACATTTAACATCTGCAGAAAGAGCACATTCTACTTTTTGAATCTGCTAAATTACTGCTGTCTCTCTCAGTTGCTTTACTTTTTTGTATTAGTAGAGGACTTTCTTAAAGGAAAAAGAGCCTGTCATAGACATAAAGGTCAGAAGGATACAATGTACAAACCAAATCAACTAAAAGAGATATATCAGTCTATTTATTAAGTGTTTATTTGAATGTTGATAATATTGTCCCAGAGGCAGGAGCATCACGATCTAGAGGGTGCAGAAAACCTGTTAGTTATTCTTTTTACACATCTCACAGTATCCAATAGTGGGCATAACCAGAGTAAATTCACCGATAGAGATTAAAGTTTGGAGGCTGTCATTTAAAGTTGGGCCTGGTAGGTGTGGGGAGGGGAAATACAGTGAGGTAGACTCATACAGCCTTTGGGGATTCGTCTGTCCCCGGGTGACCCTTTAGTGAGGGAGAAAAAGCCTTCACAAGCACGGTCAAGTTTTCACTCTCCACTCTCAACGTTCCTGCCTATGCAAGGAACCAAAGGCAGCCACTGCCATTTCAGTGCAGAAGCACCTGGTATAAAATAAGTCAGAAATACCACTTTCCCTTTTCTCTCTCCTGACAAGTTCAACTAGGATATTCTCTTTTAAAAGGATATTATTGAGATCTATAGAGAACTTTGATAATTTTGATTTTTAACTGTCATAAACTTCAAGAGAGCAGATAACTTGTTATATTCACTGGTTCAGTTTCTTTTCATCTTGATCAACTTTATTCCCAACCTGCTCCTGTCAGGACCAGGAGAGGAAAAGGCCTGCTGGCTAAGGGGAAATATTCCGATAGAGTGAAATCACGATCTTGCGCACATTTTCTTTTAAGAATCCAGCATTGGGCCCTCCCTGGTGGCGCAGCGGGTTAAAGCACAGCACTGAGAAGCTTAAGCCGCTTCCTCATGAGTTCGATTCCCACCTGCCCCGGAGGAGGTCCACATGGCGAGGCAGACCTCTCCTGACCCGCCCACTGCTCCCCTCAGCAGTGTACTTCCTCGATCTGCCTGTTCTGCTCCCCTCTCTGTCTCTGGTGAAGCCTCTCACCCTCCGTATCTCTGGCCTGTAACCCAGTTCTATATGAATAAATAAATAAATCTTAAAAAAAAAAAAAATCCAGCATTGTTCTGAGCAGTCAGAAGGCAGAAGGCATCTAGAGGTAGATTTTGAGGTGCAAAATCTCAACTGTATTTGCTGACTAAGTGACATTAGACAACTTACAGATTGTCTTTGCCTAGTGTATTATAATTGCCTACAAAGGAATTATAATACCCAGGCTTAATGAGCACAGACAGGTACCCAATAAAAGATAGCCACTACAAGAAGTCATGATTCTAATGTGATTTGTAGTGAGTCACCTCTGGTTATCAGTACACCTCTGATGCATTAAGTCACTCACCAATTGCTGTAAATTTAGGGCAGTGAAGAAGAGTATGGAAGAAAGACATAAATAAATGACACATTACTGAAAGAAACTGAACTGTTAGGAAAAGAAGGAACCACTTATTTTGAAGTTGTCTAGGAAAATATGCCCAAAGGAAGACAGGTGAAGTGACCTGACACACGGACAGACGATTGAAGTAATTACATCTAGGCAGGAAAGCCAGAAACCCACAAGTTCATGCTAGATACTGCCTGACTGGTGGTTTGGTGGTAGGTTAGCAAACAGTCTCCCACACCATCTATATAAATACATGATTCATATTTGCATAAGCACCTCCATATAACTCATTTGCATAAGCAATTGAGAAAAATAGCCAGCAGGAGAGTTCTAAAGATCTCACACTGGACCTTACAGTAGCTAATCACACACATAAAAGTACAAGTTCCAACCAAAGATTTTAATTTCCCCTTCACAATGTGGAGCCTACTTCAAATAAGTGTGAGTCAAATCAGCAGCAGCTCATTGGTCATGTCACTTGGCCCTGTGCCAGTGTAACTCACCTGGATAACTTATTGACACTGGGTAGCTTATTGATGCTCCTGATTTTCTGGCTGTGTGTCCCTTCAATTACATTTGCTGGATGGCAGTCAGTCTCACAATCTGGCTTTGAGTGTACCCTAAAACTCATTGGCCCTTAAAATCAACTTCCACTTCCACTCCAAGGCATAAAACTGACAATTTAGCTTACAACCGCATTTCCAGCATGATCCAATCATCCCACCCACAGAAAGCACACAAAGCTCATTATTTTGAGTGCTTTATCCAAAGGAAATGTGGATCAGGTTCTTATTTTTCCCACCAGCCAAGAAAAAAGATGAGTTTTTACAGCCAAGAAAAAAGAGGAGTTATCCTTGGGGCAGGTAAAGAGAGCACATCCAGACGGCTACATAGGGTATTGTACACACCTTGACTTGGGAAAGGCTGACCCCTTCCAAATGTGCTGTGTGGTTCGTGGGCTTTCCAGAGCCCTCACTGCACACCAGTAATGCCTTTTATTCTGTCTCTTTTACTCTTTCTTTCAAACTAATGGAGACTAAAATTAAGGGAAAAAAAGTGTTCCTTTGTCAATACACTTATAGAAGCATACTAATTGTTACTTGAGGGGCCCCAATTGACAGCCAAATCCCCAAGAAGTGCTTGTCCAGCCTCTGTTTGAATCTTCCCAGAACTAGAAGTTCAACTGCACCTATTGTGGTTCTTTCTTTCTTCTTGTAACTCAAATGATTCAATCATTTATTCTTTAAAATTATGATTAAGCTGCCTGACAACTACTCTTACATTTTGTCTTCCACTAAGACCCCAAAAAAGTCTAATTTATTCTGTACATTACAGCTATTCACACTGCTAATGTAAAGTCTTAAAGGACACTTCTTTTGCTGGAGGCTAAACAGGTCATTTCTTCCTTTGATCCCTACTTTCTTGGTTCTAAGACCCTCATGATATTCAGATCGTTCCTCCACTGACTCAGCATGCCAGCCATCCCGAGGCCGTCTGTGCAAAGAGTCAGCCCCGCCTGCCCTCACCAGGGAGCACATTTGTCAAACCCGTGTCCAGCACTTCCAGCAGCATCCCCATGATGCCAGGGTCTTCATTCTCCTTATTGGACTTTCTGGCAAGTGTGGAATTTCCAGGACAGACTGGTGGAGAAGGGCAAAAATGAATCCTGCGACTCACCTTTCTCACTATATTTGAAGTGACTGGTTGATAAAGAAAACGATTGCTCAACATCATTTGAGCTTTCCCCCAGTTGAGACACGTGTCATTCGGTGCCATTAGATCACAAAGACAAAAGGCCCAATGTAATGTTTACATAAAAAATCATCTTCCCATTAAATACTGTCATTGTTTCCCCAGTATCATTTGGTAGGGGACTTTTTCTTTTTAACCTTCACGTTCGAGTTAACAGGAAAAATGGAAAAGTTGAAGGAGTCTAAAAATACCATTCTGAGAAATTCTAAGCCGACTTTCTATATAATTAGACACTGAAGCTCTGATGTGATCAGTTATCCATTTCAGTGACCATTCCAGCCTGTGTATTGAACCTTTGATAGAAGAGTGATAAAATATCCTAAGGCCTTTAAGTAGAAGAAGTAAAAATTCAGCATTTCCCTAAATTAAAGAAAAATCAATCATGCATGGGTCTAATTTCCTTTGGTGGACACAGAGTATGATGAACTGTGAGGATAAAAAACTGGAAGCATGCTGTATGTACTTGCTTGTCAGATGTATTTGTCTGACATTACTGTATCATTTGGATGGAAATAATTTAAATCTTTTAACCAAATCTATATAGTTCCATTGAAGTAGGTTTAGGTAGGTAGGATATGACTATATATGTTAAACATATGTTTTCTGTACTTAATACAGAACTCTGACTCAAGTGTTCTCCATTTTACCTTTGTATCTGTCCTAAAGGTTAAGATATTTATCTCCATGAAGATGTCCAAATCATCCTCTACACCAGCATATATAACCTCATCCCTTTCCTGTAATTCTTTATTTCCCTTGTATAGATCTGGGGTGACAGCCAGAGGTGCGGAGGGTGAGAGGATTCACCAGACAGAGTCGGGAGCAGAGCAGGCAGATATTCTAAAACACACTGCTGTGGGGAGCAGTGGGTGAAGAGCAAGAGAGGTCCGCTGTGCCCTGTAGTCAGCTCCCTGGCCGGGGATCGAACTCAGGCCATAGCTGTGATAGTGCTGAGACTTAACCCCTAGGCCACCAAGGGGCCGCCCTTTCCTGTAATTCTAATGGCATGATCCAAAGTGAAGTGACCTTGGCTTTCTCAGGGTTAAGACGTCTTGAGGAAATGATGAAAAAAAAATGGTGTATGTTTCTACTCTTTCTCTGATCCCTTATACTCCAAATTCTTGATGTCAGCTACTGAAGGTATGACATTAATAAATGTAGTTCTAGTATGAGAGGCTATCAGTGTTTTGTTAAAACAAAAAATGAAGACAACCAGGATAGCTTATAAATAAAACTTTTGTTGAAGAACTGTTTTGTCTTTTCATTTTGTAAGTACCCAGAGTTTCTAAAATCATAAATGGGTAGTTGAATCAATTTCATCACTTGTAAATGCACCCCCATAAAAATACCAAGGTACCTGAAGAAATTTATCATTTTTTGTTTGTTTTGTTTTGTTTTCAGATCAGTCTTTAAGGACAACCAGGGAAATGTGGACAGAGACTCAAGATTTTCACCACTGTATAGACAAGAAAGTAACAAGATTTCAGCAGAGGACCTACTGAAATTAGTATCAGATTATAGAAGGTAGGATATTTGATATACTCTTTAAAGTGACACCTCATTGTTACTTCTGCATAAATAACACCTGATTTCCTGACTCTCAAACGCCCAAACTCCCCTAGAAAGCAGAGGCTATGCAGATGACCTCACATACGCCACCAGGGTACATTTGCAAGAATAATATGAAAGGACTGTGAAGTATTAAACTAAGTTAGTAGCTGTGTAACAAACCACCCCAAAATTTAGTAACTTAAAAAATTTTATCTTTTATTTTGCTCTTGAGTCCCTGGTCTGAGCACAGCAGAGTGAAAGCTGGTCACTTCTACTCAAGGTGTTAGCTGTGGAGAGGCAGGTTGCTGCTGGCTGTTGACAAGGAGCTCAGTTGGGGCTGTAAGCTGGTGACTGATACTCCTTCCTGGGTGCTTGTCCATGGGAGTAGCTCCAGAAGATCCTTTGGCTTCCCCATAGCACAGTGACTGGGTTCTAGGAGTTTAAGTGTCCCCTGGGACAGAGAGTGATCACTACCAGTTTCTTAAAAGAGAAGCTGTCCCCATGCCTTGTCCAAAGTAATATACTGTAAGCTGTCACAGGGTCTAGATTCAAGAGAAGAGGACATGGGCACTTCTCAATAGGAGTGTAAAGGAGTTTTAGAATTATATTTTGAAACACTGAAAAGGGAAGAGTTATAGTAAATACAGTAATTTATATTATTACTGTCGTTATCTTCTCTTTCTTCAGAGGGGATATGTTTCTATCTATAGAGTAAAAGGACAGAATATAAATCTTTGAAAGCAAAATAAAGGTGAAAAGTAAAACCGAGAAGGAGGCTATGAACAAATATCCCGCTCTTAGGCTCCTGCAGGACCACTCCATACATGGGGAGCTCCCCCAACCTCTAAATTCTCTGACATTCTGGCCAAACCCCCCCCCCACGTGTCTGCAGGCTCCTGCAGACTCAAGTAGAAATTCTCCTCTTTACTTTTGTGCCAGTGCAATGAAGCATGAAAGTCATAATGCTGAGCAGAGAGAAATACACAAAAGATTTCGGGGTGATCTCATATAACAGGAAAACACCAAGCTCTCACAGAACCCTTGTTATCAGTGGGATAACAGTGTGATCACAAAGTGTTACTACCCTGGCAGTTGGAAAGCACCAGAACCCCCACCGCCTTTTGGTGAGACTTTAAGTGGTTCATGGGTGTCTCAGAACCGTGACCACCATTCTCAGAAAGCACCCTAACCCCCATCAGGCTTTCTGGTGAGACTTTAAGTGGTTCATGGCTGTCTCAGATCCCATCACCGTTCTCAGGAGGATGCTAATAAGTGTTTACCTATGACTTCCGGAGGGGGGAAACTGATTTATAGTGATGGCAATTCCTGTGGTGTAAATTCTCCTGCCCTTGTGTTGATTTCAAGCTGCCAGTGGAGCATCACTAACCATAGTGCTGGGAAGCATTTCACACCCACACCCACCATATAGCAAGATGAAAAAAAGATCTCAAGAGCCCACAGTAAACGTAGTAATAAGTACTCAAAATGGAGTACAAATTAACTCTGTGCTTAATATTTATTTGTTGGCAAGTTCACATCAGTTTATGGTGTAACAATTAGCAGACTGAATAACTGAAAATTTAATAATCAGTTCTCATAAGCTGGGCAGAGCAAGCCCTAACCCTATCTGACGTCAGTTTCCTGGAAGGCAAAATTTTCAAATGTCATCAGCTTCCTCCAGCTACTTATGGATGAAACTTGGTAAGAAGGTTTCAACAGAGCAGGAAGAAATGAAATGCAAGAAAATGAGAACTGGAGTGGTTGTGGGTGGGGGCTGGGTGGTAACAAAGCATGTGCATTCATTCCATAAGGGTGGAAGGGACCAGAAGAACTAGTCAGGAGAGGCTTTTCTGATTGTTGGTGAAGAGCTAAAAACAGACCGTCTACCTACTAGAGTAATCATCCTTGCTCCAAACACTTCTTATGCCTAATGATAGCGAAACTCTGGAACAAGTTCACACCAACACTATTGCTTTAGTGTTTCTATGCTGGCTGTTTTCACAGGATTGACAGAGCAAGCAAAACGCAGGTCATCCCCGGAAGCCTGGATATAGCAGTTGACAACATTCCTTTGGAGCATCCAAGTATGATCATGATGTCACAGTTTGCTAAATTTTGACTATTTAGTGCATTTTTGCTTTGTTGATTGGCTGGGTGGTTGGTAGGTGGGTTGGCTAGTGGATGGTGGTGGATTAGTTGGTTGGTGGGGAGGTTGGTGGGTTGGTTACAAAGTTTACAAAGGTTTTGTGGGTCCCCCCCCCCTTAGTTTTGAATTAGTGGAATTTATCACCCTCTATAAATGTGGGGCTTCTTATTTATCCATAAGACAGACTATAAATATTGTAGGAGAAGTACTATATTCAGGTTAATCTAATCTATAGAAGGAATGCACCATAAATATAGCAAAGTATTAAGTTCTGTTATTTAATCCCCAAAACCCTACAGGGTTTCAAATGAGGAAAGTCAGCTTCAGATAGATTGACTAAAATGTAGACCCCGATGGAGACGCTGCAGTTCCTCTGACCGAGCCAGGGAAGCTCTGCACTCTGTGAGGTCCCCAGGGCACCCTGCAGAGAGTAACGCAGGGATGTGAGCTGGGACACATCTTAGTTTCATTGCAGAGTTTATGCTTCTCAGAATATGTCCAAAAGTCCTATTTGTGTCTGTGAAAGTTTGAATCTCAGAAGAGACTTTTATTAACTTATAAATATTTCAGAGTTTTATTTCTTAAGTAGTGAGATAGATTTGTTTTGTTACTTCTGATGATGCTTTTAGTGGTGCAAGAATGAAGAAAGTCATCCAAGACTGAATTGCAGACAGGGAGAGGATTGTTTTCTCAGGAGATTTGAATTATCATTCACACTATTAAGATTTTCTCCTTGTAATTTTTCTAGGGCATAAATGAGCTTTAACTTGTGCTATAATTCCTAGTCACTTTTGCATTGATTGGCATAAAAAAAGCAGAGGAGAAATTAAGCTATTCCCCTACCTGACTTGGGGGATGTGACTTTTATCACCTCTTGAAGAAAAACAAAAAAGACAAGCTTAAATATTCTCTTTGAAGAAACGGTAGGACATTAGAGAAATTTGAATATATAGTAAAAATGTTAGAATTGATTTTTTTAGAAAACCTGTAATCTGATTCCCCAAATATATTTCATTAACCTTCTTGTGTTTTTGAACCCTGGAAGTATTCCAGATGTGATATAAGAAGGTAGATCTCCTAAAACTGCAGCTTCAACCCCAAACTATTAGTGGTGAAAGTTTTGATTTATAAATTCCTAGTGACCAATCCCCCACTTACACTTTTCCCACAATATTAAATATTAAAAGTTTATAAAAACTAAATTAACAAAATTAAATGGACCTAATAATGAAGAGAGGACTTCAGGCTCTAATGCCAATTTATTTCAGAGGGAAAATTACCATTAATCCACTTGGTCCTTTCAGAGAACCACTGAGCATCTTGTTCTGTCCTGTACCAGTGCAGTGCTATTTTTAGTGATGAAGTAAAATCCAGGGCCCTCCCTAGTGACACAGTGGGTTAAAGCTTCAGCACCAGTTCGATCCCTGTTAAGGAAGGAGACCCACATGGCATGGCAGACCTCTCCTGTCTCCCTGCTGCTCCCCTCAGCAGTGCTTTTCAGTCAATCTGTTCTGTTCCCTATTCTGTCTCTGGAGAATCCTCTCATCCCCTGCACCTCTGACCCGTATCCCAGTTCTGAATGCATAAATAAATATTTAAAAAATAAATACGGTAAAATCCTGTGAGTTCATCCTTGCAGTACCTGATTGGTATGTTCAGAGGTTCATTAACCAGAAAAGTACTTTTTTTTTTTTTAAAGATTTACTTATTTGTGCATACAGAACTGGGGTACAGGCCAGAAGTGCAGGGGTGGTGAGAGGATTCACCAGAGACAGAGTGGAGAGCAGAACAGGCAGACTGACAAAATACATTGCTGAGGGGAGCAGCGGGCAGGTCAGGAGAGGTCTGCTGCGCCATGTGGGTCACCTCCGGGCAAGATTGAACTCATGCTGAAGTGGTCTTAGCTTCTTAGTGCTGTGCTTTAACCCGCTGCGCCACCAGGGAGGGCCCAAAAATGTGCTTTGTATATAAAGCTTAATACAAAATAGTTAAGAGGTTAAGTTAATAGTTAAGGCTCCACCCAGGAATGTTAACCATAGTTTTTTGAAGACCAGTTTTGATATTCAATAAGTGCCTTGGTTGTCATTCAAAGTTTCTGCTAGCATCATTTCATATAAATTAGTATAAAATTGTCTAGTACATGGCATTAGGTATGCAAGTATGTAGTGTCTATTTTGAATAGATTCATCTTAAAGTATGTTAACTATTGCTCAGTTTAAAAGAACCCTATTAAATGACAAACTCTTATTTTCTGATTTTTTAAGACTGTGTAACATCGTCCTTTATCCCTGTCAAGCCTTTCAATGCGATGGCTCAACCAGAACCCACAGTGGAGGTGGAGGAATTTGTTTATGACTCAACAAAGTTCTGCCGTCCTTACAGAGTGTACAAAAATCAAATTTATGTCTACCCCAAGCACCTCAAGTATGATAGTCAGAAATGTTTCCACAAGGTAGGATATCTGTATCTAAAGCATCACCTCACTTTACTTCAGTTAGACCACATCTACATGGTTTCTTGTAAGATCAGATACAAATGCCTACAAGACAAACTTTGGGAATAGAAAACCCTTTGGAAATGTGTTATATCAGAGAGTGATGTTTCACCTTTAAAGTGTTTAAGTTTTCTAACCTATTAATTATCTTTCTAAAGTCAATCCTAAATAATTATGTTCTAGACTGTTAGTTTCTTAAGATACCCTGAAAATAGCATGCCTGCCCCTTTCAATATGAGTCTTTTCCTCTCTGTTAAATAATCCTCCCATGTCCTTTAGTTATTTATGAGCACTGGGGATAATGTCCCCGGAAAATGTTGGGTATTGTACATTTTTCACATTTAATTAGAAGCTACTTATTTTAGGCTCTTGGATTGTGTTTGGGTGTTATTTAACAGGAAATTACAATTTGCATTTTCCCTGGCTATAATTTCAGGCACGAAATATAACTGTGTGCATTGAATTCAAAAATTCCGATGAAGATGGCGCCAAGCCTGTGAAGGTGAGCCAGGCCCTAAAGAGGACACGCACAAAGGGTGGGTGGGAGGGTGGGGACTGCATTTCTCTTCACTGAGGGATTTTTTATTTAAGTGTAGTCGAGAAAAGAGCAGTTGGAGACATCTGCTTTAGATTTCCTAAAGTGTACCCTATTCAGTAGTCATCATTAGCCAGCTCTATTAGAATTACCAGTCTCGTGGCTTGACTTAGCTTTTTGCGATTTGAAAAAACAAAAGCCATTCTGGCGTAAAAGGAATGCAAAGATTCCCTTTGGAAAGTCCGTGCCCTTCGCAAAGATTCACCTGCCTCTGGATTCAGGGTGCTTCATTCAAAATGCCCCATCCCAGCCGTCCTTCACGGGCAGGAGGGCTGGACATACTGGCTAGAAGTCCAACACTCCTGCCCCGAGCAGCAGGCTTGACCTGATGCTCACATTTATGGCCATGCAGTGGCCAGTCCCTGAGGATTCTGGGAAGGCAGTCCTGGTTGCTAAGCACATGATTTAGCTAGCTCAATATAAAGTTTATATGATCCATGCAGTTGTAACCTATCAAACTGCAACTGGGTAACATGTTCCAGAATTTATATTTGTTATTATAGTGTTTTTATCTTAGGGACTTAAAAATAAAGTAACCTCTAAACAGAGAGGAAATTTATTCTTCATGGACTGGTGACCAGGTCATCTCAGTTTTGCTGAATCAGAGGAATGAAAAGTAAAAGACAAATAATGTCTAACTGCCCCCCAGAAGTAGCTGAGCCCACCCTACCCGCCCCTTGCCAGGTACCACTATGTTCTCTGTGCTGCCAGGTGGTCGCATTTTTCAGAAGAAAGGCCACCAGTTGTAGGGATCAACGGGTCAGGCAGAGCAGAGAGAATGAGTTCCCTAAGGGGCTTGAGCCACTTCCAGCATCCCCAGGATCCAAGTTCAGCCACAGCATTAGCATCAGGAGAGGACAAAACAGAGTGAAATACAGTTGCCGTGCAAACAAGGGCAACATCTAGGGCTAGAGCAGTGTTGATGGAGCAAGATCTAGGCAAGGGGGGGCGACAGCAGGTATGTGGGTCCCTTGCTCCACTGCCTTCCAAAGCATCACACACAAGCACAGCAGACTCTGGAAGAGGGGCCCATCTCGGGCTGTGTGACCTGAAGGTGCCATGTCCTGCCCCCTGGCCTGGTGGGGGTGGGGAGAGAGAAGCACACAGGGCCAGGAGCCAGCTCTGTGCTTCCAGCTCCGTTTGGGAACCATCATGTCAGGGGTTAGTGTTCAGGTAAGCCACGTGGGCACCTGGGACTGACTGCCTTAGCCTCTAGACCAACACTAGATTCCCTGGGCGCCCTCAGGTTCCTCCCTGGTGGCACAAGGGATTAAGAACAGCGTTGTCAAGCTACCCACAGCCACTGCAGCACAAATGTAATCCCCTGCCAGGGAGCTGACCCACATGGCGCCTGCCTCGCCCGCTGCTCCCCTGAGCAGTGTATTTCAGTAGATCCACCTGTTCTGGCCCCCACTCTGTCTCTGGTGAATCCTCTCACCACCTGCACCTCTGGCCTGCACCCCTGTTCTTGTATCATAGATAGATAGGTAGAGAGATAGATAATAGATAAATAGATAGATAGATGAGTAAATGAATGAATGAATGAATGAATGAATGAATATCTTTTTAAAAAAGAGCAGGGATCAGAATTGAACAAATCAGGCAAGTAAGCAGGTTAGGCAGTGAGCTGGTTCAGGTAGTTGGCATCAAAGAAGCGGCTACATGATGAATGAAAATCTTCAGTTTTCTTCAGCAGCACCCCACTGTGTAATCAACACGGGGCAGGGGTCAGAATTCATCTTACCTGAGATGATTGACTAAAGACTTGTGACTGTTATTGAGCTCAGAGTTAATTTTAGACACTCATAATTATTCAACTCCTAACTTTTTAAACAGTGTATTTATGGAAAACCTGGAGGGCCCCTCTTCACCTCAGCTGCCTACACAGCAGTCCTGCACCATTCCCAGAACCCGGATTTCTCAGACGAGGTAAGGGGTGGGCCTCACAGCACCCAGCAGCTGCTGAAAGGCTGGGCGAAGGCATCAGGGCCATGACACCTCAGACGAAGGCTAAGCTTAGATTCAGGAGCTGTGCTCACCCACAGCTGCTCCAGAAAATTTTCCAAATTCCTGTCAGCACAGGTTATCTTTTCAAAATGTGATGTTTTCTAACATTGTCATTTCTGAAACAAAGGTTGTGTCCTTTGCACAATCAATAGCAGCAGTCATGTCATCATGGAAAGAACAAAGGACTAGACAATGAGCCAGCACCAGTGTTTGTCTCTGTGTGAGGTCAGACCCTCATTCTGAACACCTGGGAGCCTAGAGTCACAATGGCAGAAGACAAACCAGAGTTTTAGCTCAGGAAGTCAGAGGTTGAGTGTCTTCTGATCTCAGTGGGGTGCCCATCCTCACTGGGCACCTGCTTTCTTCAGGCCACCAGTTCAAGTGCTACAGTCTTCCAGAAACACCTCATAGACACATCTACAGATAATGTCTGACCTGCTCTCTGAGCAACCTTGGCCCAGCCCAGCTGGCTCTTACAAGGAACCATCACATGTTGCTAGTATATGGATGATGAAACTCAGGCTAAGAGAAATAATTTGACCAAGAACCCACAACTAAGCAGCAGCATCCTGAATTCAAACCAGACCATGTAACTCCCGAGCTTGAAGCAGCCTCACTCTGACCTTAACACATAAATATGTGTCAGTGGTAAATTGCTGTACATATTAGCTTGAATTATAAACAATCTTAGACAAACAATTGCAGCGATTAAATTTAATTCCTAACCGTGAAGCAAAATTTAGTTCCCAACCATGAACATACCTGCTGATAGGCTGTGTGAGTTAAAACTATCACTTCGTTTCTATTAACATTCTGTTGCTGCTGTTCCCAATTGCCACAATTTAGTGGCTGAAACAGCACACATTTGTCATCTGACAGTGCTGGGACCGTAACTCTAGAATGGATCTCACAGGCAAATCAAGCTGTCAGAAGCCTGCATGCTCCTGGAGCTCTTAGAGAATCCTTGCCTGGCCTTTCCCAGCCTCTAGAGGGCGCCCACATCCCCTGACCTGTGACCCCTTCCGCATTGTCATCACTCTGCGCTCCCAACTTCTCTGACTCCCCTGCTTCTCGGATGAGGGCTTCTGTGACTGCTGTGGCCCCACCTGGGTACCCAGCATAATCTCCCCGTCACGGCCCTGTTACTTAACCACATCCCTGAAGCCCCTTTCACCAGGAAGGACAACACAGTCACAGGTTCTGGGTTGGGGGCGGGGGGCTCAGAACATCTTCCAGTAGCTATCGTCTGCCTACCACACTTTGGCACACGTTCATTGTTTTAAAACTAATGAAAGAAGT